AAATCTTCACTGGCCATCCTACCCCTTAATTCAGCATCTTCTGGTCGCTTTTAAGCGTGTTAAACGTTGTAGCATAGATATTAATGCTGATTTAATTAACTCCCTTGAAATGCTAGTAGTCTTTCTAGAGGAAGTCATACAAAGCAGTGTATTTCTCTTTTTCTCTCTCCAGGCTTTTGCCTGGTTTCCTTTGGAAGCAAGGCTTATACAATCACTCTGCCTGTCTCTTGCTTTCCCTCTCATGCTAACTCCTGATCCTGTTGCTTTTTAGCCTAGTTCAACGGAGGGAGAAAAATCTCAGAGATGTTAAGGCCCTCCAAGTTTTGTAGGGAATATAAAGGGAGAGGAAAGATGCTGTTAGTGCCTTCCCTGAAGAAAAGAAGGCAACAGGAGCTGAACTTCACGGACACCAGAGAAGCTGGAAGAAGAAGGTATGACTCCCCCAGCCTGATTGCGGTAGGCTCCAGGACTCAACTACAAGGGCTGCATCAATAGGAAACTGTGTAGGGTGTGTTGTTTTTTTTTTCTTTTTTTTGTTCCTGAGGTGCCTATTTTGGTGGCTGTGCTTAAGGAGGTGGGTACAATCCATGATTTTCCAAGCCAAGGCAGTTGTGCACTGTGTAGGATTGTGCTACTTGCTGCAGGCCGCTTTTCTATCACAGCGTCTGGTTGACCTGTGGCGCCCTGGGGACTCGATATGGGCAGCAGTTCACTGGGAATTGTGCTGGAAATGACTGTTGAGAGTCATCGCATTGTAGTGCACAATGAAAATACTGTTCTTTATTTAAAAAAACAATCAAAAAACTCCCTAGACTACACTGAATAAGCATATAATTCAGTCTGTCAAAAAGTCAGGAACGAACTCACTGAACATGTTTGGATAGCTCTTGCTCAACTCTTAGTTATGTTAGCAAACCCCTCCCCGAGATGTTTCCGTGTTTATATATGATTGTTTTGCCCAAGCAGGTTTTCTGTGTTATTTGAATGTAAAAACGGGCATTGCAACGTCTTGCAACGCAACTACAGAAATGAAGTTTCTACGTTACGGCTTATTTTTGGTATGTTCAAAGCTATTGGTGTTAGATGAATAGCATGTTGTATCTTCCAGACAGTTTCAGCTGTAGATTTGGCCTCACTTGCCTGAAATCTGTACAGGAGTTAGTGAATTTTAGCGGCTTCTGCATCTTGAAAAGATGTTGTCAGTAGAAAGTAAGGAAACGGTGCCAGGTCAGAATTTTACAGGCAGGTTAACTTGAACTTGACAAATACTGCCCATGAGCTCTAGCCTTGTTGTACTATCCTGAGGGAGGGAGGGAGGAGACTGCATTTATTTCCACTATTTGCTATCTTATGTTTTGTTGGCATTATCAGGCAGGAGTTCAATTTTGGACTGAAAATCTTGTCCACGTAGGATGTTCTTACCTGCGCAGTCACTGTGCTGTTAGTAAAAGCGTTTATTCTCAGACAGCTAATGTTACAGCAGGGGAAGTATCTGTACGTTTTTTCTTGAAAACCTTCTGATGCGTTTTGAATTCTCAAGGCCATTGATTTGCTTGTTTCTTTATCTTATTTTCTGGCTAATGTGCTTTTTTGCCGCCTTCTGGTTTGGAGCTGGGTTTTTTGTAGGTGGTGGTGGTGGTTTTTTCTTTCTGGAAGGTAAAGGTGTGAGAATAATTTTAATTAACCAGCTTGTAGGGAGCCAGCAGAGGGAGTGTGTGAGCCCAAATTATTTCTTTACAAGTCCTGCAAAATCTGGAGTGTAAGTAAGGGCAGTGAATTTCAAGAGTAAACCTAGATACAGACAATCCAGCTGGTTATTGCATCCAGGTAGAACTGCTTTCAAAACAGGCCAAATTTGAGTCTAAGTTACTGGAATGACCCTACCTACATAGGGTTGATACTTAGATTTATCATCAGCTTGGAGGGTTGCCGCATCACTGAGCGATAACTGAGTTTTCAGAGTTGGAAGTGTGCAAATACAGGTTGGATTTCATTGGGGGATTAGTCCTGGAATGAGGTGGAAACTCGGAGAGGATGCTGCCCCATATATGCCCCATATATGGCTGGCCCAGCTGGATGACCTTTTTCACCTGGGTTAAATGCATTTAATGTACGCAGTGGTTTAAATTTGGGGCTTGTTTGACCAACAGTATACGTTGTGAACTGCAGTGATACCGAACTACATGACGCAACATCTCCTTTTGTCCTGTTTGTGTTTAGTATGCCAGCTCTCGCCTTGGAGAGGCTTTAATAGGTTTTTAAACAACTTGATGCTTGAACAAGCAAGCTATTTCAAGTGTAATAAGGCTTTCAAAAGAAACTAGAAAGGCTTCCAATTCATTTGCTGTGGGTGCATTTTAGGTGTTGTGACTGGATATTGGAGATCTCCACTAATTTAGTGGCTTTCTGCAACAATATCCGGAGACAGTCTTGGTGCTTTAGCTTTTTGTTCGTGTTCTTGATTTGTTAATATTTCATTAACCTTTTAGGCAAGTTCTGATGTCTCTGCCTTCCTCTGGTTTACTGCATTAGCAAATTGTAGTGACAGGTTTTCCTGTGCACGCTTGCAGTGTGTTGTTCTTAAATACTGTTCTCTTCTCTTTTTTTTTTTTCTTTTTTTCCTGATGAACCATATGCCAAACTAGAAGTGTGGAAAGTATATGCTATCTGGGTTTGTATTTGTAGAATAAATCCAGGGTAAATCTCAATTTTTGTCATGTTTTCTGTGCTGTAATTTTGTAGGAAGATGGATTAGGCAGAATATAACTTCTTAGATTGGTGTACTGTTTGTGCAATAAACCTTGCTGCGTGATGGTATAGAACTTCATTTTTTTGCTGAACGCTTAGAATAAAAATGAGTGCTCGCTGGAATCTGGGATAGGGTGAACCTGCCCCCGGCTAAGTTATGTGGAGGAATGGGAGGGATTTCTGGTAACTCTATAAACCCTCTTATTATAATATATCAATTCAAATTCACTGGTAATCGTGCTGTTTTATTACAGATATACTGCAGGACATATTGCACTGGAAGCTATATAATTTTTGAACTCGTGTGCAGACTTGTTTCTGGAATCCTTATAAAAGTTCTGGTTTAGCAGGCAAAACAAGCAGTGGGAAAGTAGTATAAAGAGATATATATTTAATTTTTGAAACTTACAGATGGAATTTACGTAACCTCTGTTTTCAAGGCTGAAGCTAGATCTTATTGGGAGGAAAAAACAATTTCC